TTCCAACTCCCAGTCTTGGCTAAATAAATTTTGTCTCTAGTTCAACCCTTCCTAAATCAAGACTATAGGGTTAGGTTTATTGACTTGAAAACGTCAAGTGTTTGTAACTTTTCTGTACAGGAACAGAGTGATGTGCAGAACAACCTAAAACTGCTTCTCATTTCATCCCATCACATTCCATGCTTCTCTCCATGTCTTTCAGTCAGTCTCGCTCCCTCCACCCCTTCTTTTCACTCTGTTCCCTCGTCTTCCGTGCTCTCTCTCTTTTTCTCGCCTCCCTCTTTCTGACATTCACACAGTCCCTGCAGTCTTATTGACCTTGGTTCCTTCTCATTTGCATCCTCCATTTTTCATTCCTCGGAATATGGCGTTGGGGGACTTTTCCATCATTAAGTGAATTTACAGCGATTTCCTTATGTGTTTTCTCCGAGGGATTGGGTTATGAGATACACATTAAATATCCATTAATACCTCATTATCCCACTGATAAGATTACCATGATAATGAGGCAGAAATTCTAATTGTTTCACTACTGCGGGTGCCACTCATTTAATCATGCACCTGAAAGACGTGCGGCCCAGAGCCCCTGCCTCACTCACTGTAAACAGGGCCAGCGGGGGAAAGCTCTCCTGCAGGCCCACCAAACCTGCCCTTGTGCGCGTGCGTATATGGGGAGATGTGACCTGTGGAGAGCTTCATACAGAGCGCTCATGATCTCCGCTTCCGCCCAACCATCAAATGCCCCCGCACACATGCAAACACCCCCCCACCCCGACATGCTAGCTGTTCATTCTCCCCCTCCCTTTCCTGCTCTCCATCTCCATTCTTCTGCCTTGTTAGGCGTTAGCTCCTGTTGAGAGTGTTGCAGAGAGAGGAGGCGTTGTGTGGGATGCTGGTTGAGAGAGTAATGAGGTTATGAGTGATGCTCGGCTCGATCCACACCTCAAAGTCACAACCCTGATGATACTGTGTGCGCGTGTCTTGGTCTTTGTGTGAGGAGGGAGGTGGCAATTAACCTTTGGCCATTCCTGTCGCAGTCCGCCTACCTGCTGCTTTAGATCACAGACGCCTCATACCCATGTGTTTCTTATGTGTGCTCTCCTCAGGGGCTGCTGCGGAGAACGCATTGTGCAGCATGCTGTGTCTGCCGGTGCTTCTGGACCCGTACGGTTCTACCATCTCTGAGACGGCGAGTGAGGCGTGGAGCGTGGAGGTTCTGCCGAGTGACTCAGGTGAGAGCTGAACCCATACAAGGATGGTTCAGTTTGAAGCTTCAGGTTAGAGTGTTAGTATTCAGATTTGGCTTTACTAAATGGAGTCATGAAACTCTTTAATAAATGTAGCTCTGTTCCTGGCTGCTGGGAAATACAGCGTTCCAGCCATGCTAAAATACACAATTTAGTAACACAAAACTGCTGATATCACTCGTCCATTTTTTTTTTGCATTTCTGTTACAATTTTTGGTAGGAAAACTATGTGAATGAATCAATTGGGGCAAAAAAAAAAAGCAAATAAAGAAAACATTTGTATTAAAGCATTGGATCTGTGCTTTGGGACTTAAAGCGGACATCAGGTGCAAAATTCACTTTTACATGGTGTTTGAACTTAAATGTGTGTTGGCAGTGTGTGTACACAACCACCCTATAATGATAAAAATCCACCCAGCACTTGTTTTTAAATCCCCATGAATCATAAGCACTTTCTTAGAGCAACCCGTTCACAGATTCTTGGCAAAGTGACGTCACTTTGCACAGGCCCCTCCCAAGACTGTTGACGGACACTGCCGTTTTAGCATAGACCCGTCCTGAGTGAGCTGTAAACTGTCCGCCATTGTTTTTCGATGCCGGAGCAGATGTAGACAAGAATGACTTCTAAGCGATTGAGGTGTTTTGTTGTTGGATGTAAGAATGAACATAGCAGTGGTCATTTACTCCTGAAATCTGAGTCACTGAATATGCAGTGGATTACTTTTGTTTTTGAAGGGAATGCACCCCCTGATCTACCTTAATGTGTCTATGTTTGCCCGAATCATTTTACTCCAGACTGCTTTCTGAACAAGGGACAATTCAATGCAGATTTTGCTAAAAAATTAAAACTCAAGGATGGATCAGTACCCACTGTACGTGATCCAGCTGCACCTCCAGAAGAAGTAAGACCCGCACTTTATATTTCTTATGATTATTTGCAAATCGTCTTTGCAGAGCTCATTAGCATTTAAAGAGACATGCACCGAAAGGGGTCACTGTAAATGGAGCTTTTTTTGACAAGGTATCAAAATGTCACCTTTTTGTTTAAATGTCACCTTTAAAGTGTCAATGCAGCCTTAATAATAATAATAATTAATAATAATATTTTAATTGACATCACTCACTGTTCTTTTTCTTTATTACTGACCATTTACTTGAATAAACATTTTAATAACATATTCCATTGTTTTAGTTCATTTGGATAATTAACATAATTAGCATTTAACTTTTTAATTAAACCAGTGTGTTCAGTAGCATATTAAGTTTTTGTTGTTGTATCAGGAATTTTAAAATTTCAATGATATTGGTATCCATTACTGAAATTTGGTTGTTGTGACAACCCTAATGATATTCCTGTAAACAGGGTTGATTATGTTATGAATCATGCAATTGTGAATCAGAAATAATGTAAAACCAGACTGTGCCAGTAGCAGGCATACGGCAGTCTGTGTGTGGTCTTGTCTCCCTGCCCGTTTTGCATCACAAACACAAGAAAGAGAGAATAAGTGATTGTTTTTTTCCTTTGCTGGGGTTTGTTTCAGTTCTAGGCAGTGGAAAAGTGGACTCCGAAGACCAATTGAGACCTGCATTATTACAAATGAGCACATAAATGAGAGCCCTCCACGGCGATGCCCTGGGTGTATTTTTGTGTGTGAGGATATGCCGTTTTCTACAGTTAATGAATCTGTGTTGCAGAAGCTGCAGACCTGAAGCAGGAAGAACGACTGCAGGAGCTGGAGAGCTGCTCAGGTGTGGGTAGCACTTCAGATGATACCGAGGTCAGAGAGGTCAGCTCCCGGCCCAGCACCCCGGGACTCAGTGTCGTTTCAGGTAACACATACACAAAAGCCTAATTGTCTAAATGCGTTCAAATGAGCAACCGCTGTCAATCTGGAATCGCAGAATTGTACAAACATGAACTTGCAGAATTCAACAATCCAAAGGTTTTAACATCTTGCTTGTCACATTTGAATGTTATTCTCTGCCTTGCTGAGTTCTTTATTCAGCGACTCTTCTTCCCTGACATGCTGATGAAGAC